GTAAAACTAACTGGTGCTTTGCATGAAAAACAGAGGGGCTGCCGCTGCTTCTCTATCGCCTCTTTGCAGAATTGGGAAGAAGGCCCCATGTGAGCAGTCAGTATGCCAGTCCTACGCACCCAGCTCAAATTCACTTTAGAATCCCGACAGCTTCCACCTGTCTAAAGCTGTCCAAACTGAAAACCCTAAAGGTGCTCACTGGGCATGGCCGGCGCAGGGCCAGCGGGGAAGCAGAGAATGAGTTACCTCTGACAGCTTCACGCACATCGCCTCCTGCCAACCCTCTTCTGGCGGAGATTCTGGAAGGAACACCCAGTCGGCCCCACAGGCCAGGGCGCTCACCAGGGCTAGGTACCTACGTGGAAATAGCAAGGATCCCGTCAGGTTGCTGCCGGTGAACCCCTCCTGGAGCATTTGCACTGGGGTGCAGGGCTCTCCAAGGGGCATGTGAGGGTCCTTTCCACCCAAATCACGTCCGCACATACATACCCGCAGTGTCTCCCCATAACCTCGAGAACGAAGGTCCTCTGGTGGCTGCGAGAGACAAAGGAGACATCCACTTACCATGGCTGGGAAGAGTGTGGGATACACAGAGACAAGTGCTGCCACAGCCAAGTCAGAGGGAGAGGCTGCTCCATAATTACAGCAGGACCCAGCTTCCGAAAAGGGACCCGTTTTCTCCAGAACCAAACGCTATTGCAAGAGTGTTTCAGACTTGTGAGTAAAGGGGCTTGGGCAGCAAGCTCAGTTTCTAGTTCCATATTTTGCAAGCTTATCCAAAATTGGGTGCAGGGCAGGTTAGAAACGGAACAGTCGGGGACGGGGACACTTCCCCACATCTCTAACAAGGGCTGTGGCCACAGTCACACAGACTTGTACTTTCCGCTCTTCCTGCAGGAGAACTCTGGGCAGGACTTAGGACAATGATGATTTTTGTCTCCTAAATTCTCTTCAATGAAGAGGTTTTTCTTCTATAATGGGGGAGGGAGGGAAGTAACTTCATAACACTGAAAGTAAAAAGTGACCCTGAGAGCAATTTCCTTGCACTGTTTCTAATACACAAGTGACAAGAGCTGCACCCGAACAGCCTCTGTGGAACCTTCCAGGGCCAGCATGAGCATCTCACCACAGCATGCTGTGTGCCCCATGCCGCCTGCCCGCCCACCGGCGCCTCCGTCTACCTCTGGGCCGTCGTCATGATGGCATCGATGACTTCCATGATCCGGTGCAGAGCCGAGTCAGTGCCGATGGTCATGTCTGTCCCGCAGAAGTCGTTGTCGATGGAGCCCACCATCCCCACGACGTTGAGGTAGCTGTGCTTCTGTACATCCTCCTTGCTGATCTGGCCTGCGAGCGACACAGCCACACGGGCCGTCACTGGGGGCAGCCCGTGGATCCCACGGACACGTGAAGTGGGAGACAGGCCGGCCATGGGTACAGAAACCTTCGACTCAACTCTGAAAGTGTTTTCTATCTATTGTTTTGTTTTCTTGGAACTCTCCACAAGCTAATTCTCTACACTTATGAAAATAAATTCCAGACACGGCGGAGGTGATGACAAGGTGGGAGCTAAAATAGATAAGAGCATGGACTGCAAAAATCACACGGGTCAGGGTCTGCACAGTGCAGTCAGTGGGTAAAATCTGACTTCTGTCTGGTAATGGCCAGGGAGAATAGCGTGGCTCTTATTGAGGAAATCACAGAATTAAGTACTTAAGAGTATCATACAACCATCATATTGATTTCTTATAGACCCATGGGAGCTAGTCTGTCAGTCGTGTCACTAAGAGCTCTTAGGAAAGACTGACATAGTATGCAGATCTGCCTAAACCCAGTCAGAGTGGCCAAGGTTGGGGGCAGCCCAGGCAGGGACTTAGGCGGCTATTCCTCTTCAGTGTCACCACCCAGCCCGCATCAGACCAGAGGGCAGTCGATGGTGGGCAGGAGATGCTGTGAGGCCCCTGCCGCTAGCATTTGACGGCCACTCGCTTCAGGGCAAGTTTACACCTTCCATGAAGCGGCTATTAGCTCCAGCAATATGACTCCTCTGGTCATACTTTGTATTAAATTGCAATTATGTAACAACACTTTTACCACAGTACAGTGAACTAAATATTATTCTTATTATTGTTATTATTTGAGGTCCAATGTAAGTCCTGAGGCAGTGACTGTAGACCTGCCCCATGGAAACCTCTCGACAGCTAAACAGGCAGTGCCTGTGAGGCCAAAGCTCTCTGCAGGGAAGAGAAGATGAAAGTGGGGAGCAAAGCCAGGAGAGCGGCGCAGCCGGGCCCAGACGCACCGTTCTGGGCCAGCTCCTCCAGCAGCCCGCTCCACTCCTCCCGGAACAGGTTGGCCCCGGTGAGGCTTCCATCCCCGCCGATCACGCACACGTTGGTGATGCCACGCTGCACCAGGTTGAGCGCGGCTTTCAGGCGGCCTTCCCGGGTACGGAAGACCTTGCACCGGGCGCTGCCAATGATGGTCCCGCCCTGAAAAAGAATGAAATCCTGTTTATCTACCTCCTAAGAACTGCGCAAAAAGCCGGACAGGTGGGCACATGTGAGTGCTGGTGCAGACACAGAACTTCCCAAAGTCAGGTTTTCCTCCTTTTAATCTGGAGTCAGTCCACTGGGAAAGTTGGTAGTTTTCCATTTTTAGCTCCTTCCTGGAATTCAATGGATAGAGAGACTGGCTCCATGCCCAGGGGAAGTCAAGTAGGGTATGGAAGCAAGGATCAATGTCAGCTAAACATGCAGAGAAGAGTTTGTGAGGTGCTGACAGCCACCCCAGAGACTGTGCAGCATGGGCCAGATGGATCCTGTGTTCCCTGAGCCTAAGACAGGCCCAGCCTGTCATCAGCCTAGGTCAGAGAAGAGCCGTGTCCAGTGGCCCCAGGCAATAAGGCTCCCCTTCTGTTACTCAGAGCTCAGCATATATGCAGGCAAAACAGGAATCTGTGAACCAAACAGATTTATTTTTCAACTACATCTCCCCAGTCCTAACCCTTCTTAAAGGCCAAATCTTTAAAAAACTTAAGTTGGGTCATCCCAGCTTCCAGAGAGGTAAGTCCGGAGATTTACCACTTGGTGCTTCAGAAATGGAGAATTCTTAGTTTATTTAGAAAAATGCAGGGTTCCCTCACATACGTCAGGGATGCATATATAAAACTGGAATTTCCATGCGATCCTTCAAATGTACGTTCACTTCATGGAGTCACCCATTAACAGTGACCCCGTGTAATAATTGTCAATATGACTGGGACATCATGACTTGGTACAGCACAGGTGAGCCTGGGTGGCAGGTGCAGGGTGCAGAGCAAAGGGAAGCTGGTTCTCTAGACTTTGATTTCACCTAGAGCAACTAGATGGTCATGTGATTTCTAACAACCAGAAGTTAAGTCAGCAGCAGATACATGGTGAGGAGATAATATGGCCAGGGCCTCACGGATAAAGCCAGGATTGCCTAAGGTGCAGAGAAGCAGGCAGTGTACACGCACACACACACGACAGCCACTCTGTATCTCCTGTCTTCTGCACAATCACAATGGCAGGAAGGACATGCTCTCTGCTATCTGGAATTCAGACAATATTGTCCTGATTTTTTGCAAATATCACTCTACCTAAGTACTGATGGGTGTCAAACTTTCCTTCAGTCTCTTTCCAGGAGAAACAGAGCGAAGGTCTACGCGTAGGCTTTAGAATCTGCAATGGGTATTAATACATACAGCCCGCTATCATCCCCCCAGCATTACTGAGATATAACTGACATAAACGTGTCAGCTTAAGGGGCACAACGTGATGAGTTGACACATGCATGTACCGTTAAATCGTTACCACAATAAGACTGATTTATACATCTATCAATTTGCATAATTACCTTTCTTTTTTGTGGTGAGAACTTTTAAGATTTAGCCTCTTTGTATCTTCAAGTATGTAATACAGCATTGTTAACATTTTTAAGGTGTGTGACATGATGACTTAATATATGTACACACTGTGAAATAATTACCACAATCAGGTAAAACATCCCTCACCTGCATAGTTACCTCTTGTTTGTGTGCTGTGAGACGAACACTTGAGATCTATTGTCTTAATACATTTCAATGCTGTACATGCGATCCCAGAATGTATTCATCTTATAACTGAAAGTTTGGACCTTTGGCCATCATCTTCCCATCTCCCTGACCCTCCAACCCCTGACAAACACCAATTTATTCTTCGCTTCTGTGAGTTCAGTATTTTAGATCCCATGTATAAGTGAGATGATACAGTATTTTCCTTCTCTGTCTGACTTAACATAATGCCCTCAAGATCTATCCATGCTGTCCCATACAGCAGGAGTTCCTTCTTCTATATGGCTAAGTAATACCCCATTTATTTTTCATATATTTTTTCATAATTTTTTCATCCATTCATCCATTGTACTAGCACCTTCACGGGAATGTACCCATTTGGTTCTTTCTATTAAAAAGTACTCAACAGGAGTCACAGACTGATACATATGCTATAAAAGGTAAAGCCACAGGAGCATTTCACCAAGCCCATCGTTTCCACTTGATCTCTCCATTTCTCAACTGCTTGGAGCCTTTGCTAACCTATATAGTGTTCTGGAAATTTATCAGGCATAATGAAATATAAACATAAAAAACCAGGCAGGTGTCTTTTAAATTCAAAGTAAGCAGCTGTTTCTTTGCCTGAAGTGCTGATGACCCCATCCTTGGGCATGCCAAGGAATTCCACGCCATGTGGAGTAGGCCAGGCCATGCCAGGGGCTGTGTGCACTCTGAATCCACGGCCCTCAGAGCCACTGGCTGGGGCCTCTCCCAGGCTGTGATACCCTGACAATAAAGAACTCAAGAAAACCCAACAGGCACATATATTTGCCTCTGAACACACAGCACCAACAAACCAAAGCTGCCTCAACACGAATCTGCTGTAAAAACCCCAAATCTGCTGCAAGTACCACGAGGAACGCTAACTACTATGCCTAACTTTTAATTGCAAGGATAATTCCTCCAGTTGCATGATGTAAAGTGTTTTTACAAAATTTAATTAAAAGACACATTAAGAATGTTTTCTTTCCTGTTGAGCAGGTAAAAATAAGGCCAGGCAGCACACAAATTTGTTTTAAGTCTGACGAGGAGCATAAGGACCAAAGGTTTCAAACTAAGGGAGTTACTTACATAGATAAACAATCTACTGAATTCAGCACCTACCACTTGCAGGATGCTTGAGACACTTTCCCAGTCTGCTTCCACGATATTGTTGCCACCGTCCACCATGCCTTGGTAGCCCTGGGGAGAGAATCAAAACCTTTTTAAAACTGGGTAAATGTTGTTGTGGAATTAATTGATCCTAAACTACTTGAAATGTAAATATAAGTGACGATGAAGCTAAGTGCCTAGGAGCCCAGCGGTTGCAGGTACAGTCCAGACGAGTGCCACTCACAGTAGCCATGG